AGACATGGTTTATTTCTCCCATCTCATCGTAGATGCATCCACATTTCTATAAGTACAATTGTTATTTTAACGCGAAACTTATAACATGTGTTAAAGGCATATTTATTAAGACTGTATGGTACTTGGAGATCCTCAAAGCTCATGAAATATTTGAGATATATCACATGAAGTGACCCCTTGAAACACATAAAGTACCACGATATTCTTGATTAAGAGTTAACACTAAGAGTTTGAGTATTTTGAATTCAAATTTGATATTGTTGTAACATATTCTAACTATTATAAAATTTGTTGATGCTCCTAAAGAGTTCAATCATTTGAAAAGTGAAAAGCAGGTTGAATACTGTGATAAACAATCATGTACAAAGGCAATGGTGTTTGTATTGCTCAAATCAAAGAAGGGTTCATCAAGGGTAATATAGTTTCATAAAAAAGCCAAGAGATTGGAGTCAAAAAAATTTGTTCACAAGATAATCTGGTGAACCTTTTTACCAAAGCTTTTTCTAAAGCCTAAATTCCAGAAGTTAATGAAAATCAGGGGGAGATATCAATCAGGGGGAGCATTCCAATTTTACTACATACAGGATATATGCGCGTTGTACTCTTTTTCCCTTCGACTAGGTTTTTGTCCCACTGGGTTTTTCCTAGCAAGGTTTCAACGAGGCAACATAAACGCATCCAACACCATATCAATGATCCAGAATAAAGTTTCACTCTTTTTCCCTTCGCTTCGGTTTTGTCCCACTTGGTTTTCCAACCAAGGTTTTTAATGGGGGAACTATGTCATTATATGGTGGACATCCAAGGGGGAGTGTTGTAAATGCATGAGTTGGTGGATGATCACCATACCTCTTAGTATTCCACCATTGGATTTTATGTAACCTATGCACTAAGTATTTGTAATTCGTGCTTGTAACCTATAGGTACATTGTAAATGATGGTATTCAATCTCCTATCTTGTAAGCCTATAAATAGGTGGTTCTACCAAAGAATAAACATGGTGAAACTTTATTTTTAGCATATCACTTCTCTCTACATTTTCTCCCTCTAGTTTTATAACAAGAAAGATATTTAGGAGCTCTCTAAAAAATTTCAACTCCAACCATACTTCTTAATTTGGGGAGTCATAAATGCTATAACTCTTTTTTGATTGGTCCACCTCTATTAAAAAATAAAATAAAAAATAGTTAGCATTAAATAAAGGTTTGAAATACTCATTAAATAAAGCAGCATTAAATTATAGAGAGCCACTAGGAGTCCTTTCTCTCTCCTCAGATTTAGGAGCTCCTAAAAGACTCCATAGTTTAGAAGGTGAATAGGGAGCGTGGTTGGAGTTACATTTTTACGATTCCTCTCTAAAATTTGTCTAAAGAGGTGGTTTAGGGAGCCTATTGTGGATGCTCTTAGTGGCTTCTTACTTCAGTTTGGGTTTCTTCAGATTTGGGACGATGCCTCACTGTTCATATTTCACCAGTCTTATATTATGGTTCTCTTGTTATATGTGGACGACATTGTTCTAATTGGCAACCAGACCTCTCTTCTATCATCCTTTGTAGCCACCCTTGGTAAGGAGTTTGAGCTTAATGATCTTGGCCCCTTATCTTACTTTTTGCAACTTGAGGCTAATTCCACATCATTTGGCCTCCATCTTTTGCAAACTAAGTATATTGTTGATCTTCTCAAACGACATTCCAGGACTGATTGTAAGCCATGCACTACACCAGTTTGTGGCTCTTTTCAGATGTCTTCCCTTGATCGTCAGTTGCTTTCTAATGCTACTAAATACTGCCATCTTGTGGGATCTATTCAGTATCTCACGTTCACTAGGCTAGACATCTCCTTTGTTATTAATCATGTTGCTCAATTTATGAGTGCACCTCGTTCTCCACATCTGGTTGCTGCCAAGCGCGTCCTTCGTTATCTGAAGGGTTCCCTTGGCTTTGGACTCTCCTTTGGTTGGTCTCATGGTCATCTCACTCTTCGTGGCCTCAATACTCGCCCTCACACCCTTCATGGTTTCTCTGATGCTGACTGGGTTGGTTGACCTAATACTTGTTGCTCGACTACTGGCTTCTATGTGTTTCTTGGCCCCCAATCTTATCTCTTGGAGTGCCAAGAAACAACATACTATGTCTCACTCTTCTGCTGAGGCTGAGTATCGGTCTTTGGCTTAGGTTTGTGCCGACACCACATGGATTTCTTATCTCCTTCATGAGTTAGTCATCCCTTCTTCTAGCCTGACCCTTCTCCTTTGTGACAATCTGAGCACCACTATATGGCCTCTAATCCCCTTTTTTATGCTTGTACTAAACATATTGAGCTTGATTATCACTTTATTCGGGAGCGCATCTTCTCTTTCTCTCACGGTGTTCATTTTGTTTCGTCTACGAACCAGCTTGCTGACATCTTCACAAAAGGGCCTTTCTATACAACGCTTCCAGCTCCTTCGATCAAATCTCGTTTCTCCTATATCGTCAGATTTGCGGGAGAGTGTTAAACAGCCCATATAATCTAGCCTTCATGATATATATTGTGGATGCTCTTAGTGGCTTCTTACTTCAGTTTGGGTTTCTTCAGATTTGGGACGATGCCTCACTGTTCATATTTCACCAGTCTTATATTATGGTTCTCTTGTTATATGTGGACGACATTGTTCTAATTGGCAACCAGACCTCTCTTCTATCATCCTTTGTAGCCACCCTTGGTAAGGAGTTTGAGCTTAATGATCTTGGCCCCTTATCTTACTTTTTGCAACTTGAGGCTAATTCCACATCATTTGGCCTCCATCTTTTGCAAACTAAGTATATTGTTGATCTTCTCAAACGACATTCCAGGACTGATTGTAAGCCATGCACTACACCAGTTTGTGGCTCTTTTCAGATGTCTTCCCTTGATCGTCAGTTGCTTTCTAATGCTACTAAATACTGCCATCTTGTGGGATCTATTCAGTATCTCACGTTCACTAGGCTAGACATCTCCTTTGTTATTAATCATGTTGCTCAATTTATGAGTGCACCTCGTTCTCCACATCTGGTTGCTGCCAAGCGCGTCCTTCGTTATCTGAAGGGTTCCCTTGGCTTTGGACTCTCCTTTGGTTGGTCTCATGGTCATCTCACTCTTCGTGGCCTCAATACTCGCCCTCACACCCTTCATGGTTTCTCTGATGCTGACTGGGTTGGTTGACCTAATACTTGTTGCTCGACTACTGGCTTCTATGTGTTTCTTGGCCCCCAATCTTATCTCTTGGAGTGCCAAGAAACAACATACTATGTCTCACTCTTCTGCTGAGGCTGAGTATCGGTCTTTGGCTTAGGTTTGTGCCGACACCACATGGATTTCTTATCTCCTTCATGAGTTAGTCATCCCTTCTTCTAGCCTGACCCTTCTCCTTTGTGACAATCTGAGCACCACTATATGGCCTCTAATCCCCTTTTTTATGCTTGTACTAAACATATTGAGCTTGATTATCACTTTATTCGGGAGCGCATCTTCTCTTTCTCTCACGGTGTTCATTTTGTTTCGTCTACGAACCAGCTTGCTGACATCTTCACAAAAGGGCCTTTCTATACAACGCTTCCAGCTCCTTCGATCAAATCTCGTTTCTCCTATATCGTCAGATTTGCGGGAGAGTGTTAAACAGCCCATATAATCTAGCCTTCATGATATATATTGTCTTAGTCAACTCGCTTAATTGTAAATTGGTGTATATCAGGAATCTGTGTTTATTTCCTTTTTTGATTCCTTTCTGCATTGTATAAATTTCCTCATTGAGAGATGAATAATCATTCAGAAGTTCTCAACTTCTACAAATCCCAATTCTTTTTTGTCGAAATCTCTTTGGTCCGTTGTGGCTATACTTGGACGGGGGCTTCTATAGTGAGTGGGAAGTTATAAGGGGTGTTTTTGAGGGGTATGTAAGAGCCGTTGGATTTCATCCAAAGGTGAGTTTTTAAAAGAGGGTGCATGTAGAACCGGGTTGAAATCTGACCCGTTGGAAACCCAACTTCAGTTGAAGATTTTTCCCTCTCTGTGAAAAACTGAAGAACACAATCCTCTTTTTTTTAATGTAATGCAAACCCACAATTAGAAAGATCTAAAGCTCCCAAACCTTATAGTCGCTCCATTGTCATCAGCTCCTTGGGAGGCTTGCGATCTATGGTATCTTCGGTATGATGATTAATGGCTCTTACCTAGCTATTGCCCTGTTTTGATTCTATGGCTCAAGTGAAAACCCCTTCTCTTTTTCGTTCAGCAGACGAGATTCCAGATGAAAGCAAAGTAGCATATCTCTTTCTGTAGCTAGACGCCGCAGCAGCAGTTGTTCCTCGATTTTGGTAGAGATGGAGTCTCCACTACCAAAGAATCTTCTCTAATGTCCACCACATTCTCTCAAGCTGACTGATTTTGGAGCTCTTGATTGACTTTGAGAGGTAAGTTCACTCTTGCTGGTTTGATTTTGTTGGGTTTGGTTTGTTTTTTGTGAGGGTGGGAAATTCGTCATTTGTGGCATCAATAATGTGTCATTTGTAGAATCAATAATGCGTCATTTTTGCTGTCAATAATGTGTCATTTCCTTATGAATATTCAATATACTTAGTTGATTGTTTTTGGGGGGTGAGGGGTGGAAAATTATGAAATGTAGGTAAAAGATCCTAAACTTAGGCTTAATGGCATTAGGAGTAAGCATTTGGAGAGGATATTAGGTGAAGTTCTGTAATTGCTGGTTTGAATTACATTTGTATGCTTAGTTGAATATGTTGGTTCTAATGTTATTTTTTCCAGATTATTTCACAAGAGATGATGTAACTATTATTAAATTTTGCTTGCGTTTTGTGTAATCGGAATCCAACAAGCTAGGCTATGCGTGTTTTGTGTCAATTTGGGCAATATTTTATGTAAATGGAATGCATTGATATGTTATGATACAGTAATGATTGATTAATGAATTAGTATTTGCTATGCAGTAATATAGAAGTAGATAAATAATATACGTGGATAAAATGTCTGGGGGCTCAGAGAGTGATGACTGTGTAACAGCTAATGGGAGGGTTCACATTCCTGAAGTAAGAAATGAGGAAACACCAGCAGTTGGGATGCAGTTCGACTCGCTTGACATCGTTTATAATTTCTATAATAGATATGCATTCTTGGCTGACTTTGGTATTCGACTTCATTCCAACTTTTGGGGGAAAAATAAGAAAGAGATTCTAAGGAAAGAATTTGTATGTTGCAAACAAGGTGCATACGGGAAAGATGAAACTCGGGAGAGAAAAGGACAGCGGGGAATAAGTAGATGCAATTGCAAAGCTAAGATTGTGGTTGTGAAGACAAATGGTAGCAAGAAGTATACCATATCTCTTTTTGCAGAGGGACATAATCATAAGATTACACCCTCAGAAAGAATGCATTTATTGAGATCACACCGTCGTATTTCAGATTCTACAAAAGTACTCACAAGACAGTTGGGTTTGGTTAATATTCCCATTAATCAGAAGGTAAGTATTTTCGAGGTGCAATCCAGAGGAATGGATAAAATCGGTTTTATCAAAAAAGATATCTACAATCTTGAATGTAGTGTGAATGGAAAGCTGAGGAACAACGATGTTGAACTAGTGACCGAGTATTTTATGGCTGAACAGAAAAATAAAATGAGGCTTTTTATTTCAAGATTAAGGGAGATCGATAACAGGTTTAGTCGATGTTTTTGGGCAGAAGCAACTTCTAGACGGGCGTACGGGTTTTATGGAGATGTTGTTGTATTCGATACTACATTCAACACGAATCGATACGACTTGACATTTGCACCAATGTTGGGAGTTAATAACCATAGTCAGACAATTGTCTTAGCATGCGCATTTTTTGAGCAAGGAAACGACTGAGTCGTTTATTTGGATGTTTGAGGAGTTTAAAAAAGCCATGCCAGGTGGCGAACCTAAAACAATCATTACAGATCAAGATGCGACAATGACTAGAGCGATTTCAATAGCCTTCCCGACTACATTTCATCGATTTTGCATATGGCACATCACATCAAAGTTCTCTCTTAAGTTACCACATTCTGCTTATAAGGAGTATTGGGGTGAATTCCAGAAAGCCATATGGGATACTGACAATAAGGATGAGTTTGATGCAAAATGGAATAGTGTGGTTACAAAGGCTGATTTGACTGACCATCCACGGCTAAGTTCAATGTTTGATTTAAGGGAATCTTGGGTTCCAGCCTACGCACGACACTTTTTTGCTGCTGGAATGTCAAGCAGCCAAAGAGCGAAACTTTCTCATGGTTTCTTCAAGCAATACATATCAAGGAGAAATTTGTTGATGGATTTCATAATACGATTTGAGATGGCACTTTCTCATCAACGTCAAAAAGAGTTAGTTGCTGATCACGTATATGCATTTGAAGTGGCTCAATGTATTCTACCGATGCCAATGAACAAATAAATGGCTACCTTGTACACAAGGACAATGTTTCAAAAGTTTGAGCAAGAACTAATACAAAGTACATCATGTTTCCTAGAGCTCAAAAGAGAGGATGCTTCTAAAGTTGTCTATAATGTGAGCGAAAGGAGAAATTGGGAAACAAGAGTGGCAGAAGTCGTATATGTCAAAAATTCTAACCACACATCGTGTAGCTGCAAAAGATTTGAATTTGTTGAAATTATTTGCAAGCACATCCTAGCATTGTTCAGAAGGGACTAGATTGAATATATGCTAGATAAATACATTTTGAAGAGGTGGAAGAAAACTACGAAATCTGGATTGTTGTCAGATGCAAATGGCAATGAAATTAAAGACTCTGCAGATCCTGGTCTTTTAATAAAGCGGAGTACAATGTCCCGACTTGCTTCAGATATGGTTGATGATGCATTAATATGTGAAGAAGGATGTGAGCTATTGTCAGAGATTCTAAAAATTTTGGGGGTGAAGTTGAAGTTGTTGAAGGATGTACCAAGTAATAACGAAGTTGGAGGGTCTAGCTCTCAAACCAATATATGAAAGACCCTAAGAGAGTAAGGTGCAATGGAGGGTCGAAACGAGTAACGGGAGTAAAGGAAAAGACAATGAAGCGAGGGATTAGACACTGTCAGGAGTGTGGACACATTGGTCATGATAGAAGATAATGCCAAAGAAATCAACTCCAATAGATCTTAGTGACCCATTATTCGACGAATTTTACAGGATGCACGGACCAACTCAATGATTTATGTTTCTATTGTACGAAGCCCGGTTGTTATAAAGACTAATGATCAGGTGAAGTTTTCTAGATGTAGTTTTATTATTATTATTTTTTGTTCATGTCCACCGATGAGCTCTTACTATGTCCACTGATAATTGAAATGAAAATTTGCTTGGTTTCATTTTTGCATGAAATTTGGACACATGTTAATTTTACGTCTTTTCCCTATTTAGAAATTTTCATAGACATTAGATAAAGTATCAAATTTTGAGTTATGTGAAGAAGCAATGACTTTTACCTTGTAAAATGGGTAGTTTATGGTGAATTATGTTTTAATAGAGATTCATTGATCATATGACAGGCTAATGTAGCATTTCCAGCAGCCAGCTGTTGTTTCCATTACCAGTAATGATTTTCAACAGCACTCATCATTTCTAGCAGCACCCACTTTTTCCGAATGTTATGTTTTAGTGTTTTATTGGTTATTAAGATATGAGCTTAACTGGTTATTGGGTGTACGATTTTGCAAACATTTGTAACTGAAGGATACTTGAAGCACTTTGTTGGAACATAATGATTAAAAAGCAGCGTGTAGAAAAGTACATTGCAACTAATCACATTTCGAACGGTTGGAGAATATTAAAGGGTACACTAACATTTGAACTACTCATATTCCACACACAAAAGAAAATTTGATTGCAAATCATTTTATGTGCTCCCTCTTAGCAATACCACGATCTCCTTAATCAACTGAACAACGGTAGCCACAATCACTAGGTCGTATTTGTCAGCTTCTTCTTAGCAGGTCTCACGTGCTTATGGTCACTCATGTCCCTAGTGATATAGACAAAATAAATATTCAACAATATTTGGAATTTTATTATATATAAATAAACCATAAACCATTCACTAAATAATGTATAGCACATGGTATATTACTTATGACTCACGTGTTATGAAAATGGGGTTTTACTGATTCCCAACGTGCTGTGATATTGACTGCTTATTGAATAATATTTCCATATTTGCAAAATATAATGTTAGACAGAAGGAACACATGATGACTTGCAATACATAGTCCCAATAATTATATATGAAGCAAAAGAAACTGATATTTGTATTATTTTAAATTACATAATGACATTAATGGAATATACTTCTAATTTGTGCAATACCACGATCACCCTCAACCAACTAAACAGCTGTAGCCGCAATCAGATGGTCGTATCGGTCGGCTTCTTCTGAGCAGCTTTGACATGCTTATACTCATTCATGTCACCACCATCGTCTAGTATCTCTCTCACAGCATCAGGGGACACATAGTCCCAATTATAACTTGTATGAGTAGTTGCCGCAAATGTTCAGAATTTTTCGAATCCTTCGTTGAATGCCAACTCTAGTTCACTGTGGTGCTCTTCGCATCGCATATGGTTCATCAAACAACCTTTAATTTCATCATTCATTACTGTATCCAACTCCTTAGCTTTCAGCTTTCTTTTATGGCTCAGCTTCAAGTACTTGTTCTTTTGGGAGAACGCTTTGTTCACTATAATGTTAAGATCAGCCAAAATGGGCTCGTCTTCAACACATTTCTCGTGCCATAAATTGATAAGTCTGGAATTATAATCCAGCTTGCTACTGACTGCATGTATTGCCTCTAATGGATCATCGGAGTCCCCCTCACTCCCAAATGATGTTGAAAATGGAAGGGGTCGGCAAGTACAACGTGGAAATGGAACCTGTGACTCCAATTTTTCATCTTCGATTGTGTTGTTGGCGCCTGAAGAGGTTGACATGCTTGAATAATCCTATTTGGTTTAGAGGATGAGGATTGCATATGCAATTTCGTTTGAGAAAGGGAACATAGCTTTATAGACCAACATACCAAAGCTTGCGTATAGTCAACATATGTACTTTATTTCAATTTTAAAAAAAGAGGTGTCAGGTTTTGCTTTTCAAGCATGTCAACCTCACACTCTCCTTACACCACTGTTAGTGGTTGAAAGAAACTGAATGGAAGTGACATCTAGTTAGTGAACCCAACCAAAGTAACCAAACTAGTTACGATTAAACTTAGATTGTATCAGACCAAAAATTAATTTATACATTGTCAACCAAATGTTTTTTGGCGGGAACCCTTTTATTGGTATTACTATTACCCCCTTCATAGAAACTCTCCCTCCAAAAAAAACTCACTCCTCCACAAAAACTCTCTCCCCCCATAGAATGGATTTACTAACCAAGTTTGATGTGAGCAAAACAAACACCCCTCCAAACAAAGACCGCCTTCGAAACGCAAGTGAGTCACCAGACAAGCAGTGTCACATTCCTAGACAGAATGACCATTTTGTTGGAAGTTTTGAGTCTGAAAGGGTTCTTGCTTTCTGGAAGGAGAGGCATCTTCAACTTGGTGATGAAATCCAAAAGGCAAGGGCACGTTTGTAATTTGTTGAAGGCCAAATTGAAGATGACAAAAGGCAGGCCAATCTGGATAGGGCGAAGTTGCAGCGCATGAAGCATAGACACAAACGACTTCGGAGTGTAGCTGTTCAAAAATACAAGAACTCATCTAATGCAGCGGAGTCAAAGAAGCGTGTGATGCAAGCTGGATTCGACTACTTCCGGTCCTATGCAAAACTCATTGTACCTGGGTTTGATTGGTCATCCATTACCATTTCCGACGTTAACAAATATGCTCAGCAAAGGAAGTAACCATTTTGGTTCTCGTGTTTGAGCAGGTCAAATAAGTGGAATTGGAATTTTCGTTCAACTCTGCTTCAAACCTATTTTGATGCTTACTACTATGGAAGATTTCAACCTTAATATTTTGATGTCTTTAATTACGATAACACGAGATGCAAAATGCCCATCTATTTCAGTAATATGTTGCTGCCATGTCCATTTTTTTTTAATCACGTATCAGATTTGGACATGGTTGTATCATATGCAATGTTGCCTTTATTTATTATATGTTATGGCAAGGTTTATGGAAAAGCATTTGTGACAAGGTTATGGCATTATTTTGTACCAGTTATATATTATTTTTTGTACTGATTCATCTCCTACTATTGCTTTATTTTTTAATATTATATGTTTGTGGAATCCCTCTCAAAAGTTAACATATACTGTGAAAAAAATACATAGTGAATATATAATTGCTCATATGGACAAGGACAAATAGTCATTAATATTTTAAAATTGCTTGACTGGTGTGAGGTTTTTCAGAAAAAGTATGGCATTATTTTATGTGATTGGACATGATAGAAAATATATTATTGATTCCCAATGCGGCGTCATATGGACAACTTATTGAATGCCTCCGACGTGTTCAAAACTCTAGGTGCAGTTGCTGTTTGGGCCAAAAATTGACACATCCAGCCCAAGACCCATCAGAACAAACAAAGTTGAGTTGGGCCTCACAGGCCCAACATAAATAGGAAGAGGGAGTCCAGACCAGAAGAGGGAACAATCCCACATGGCAGCCTCTGGGATAAAAGTCAGCAATAGCGGAAGTCAGCAGGGATGAAAAGTCAGCAAAGGCAGCCTCTGGGATGAAAAAGTCAGCAATGGCAACTGCCATAGAAGAAGTGACTGAAGGTTTCGTGATATCAAGAAGAACTGAAGATTAAGTCCCCTTTATATATGTATATACAGAGATTTTCCTGTCTTTACAAAGAAGGTAATTCTCCCAAGATAGAT